CCCCAGCCACTGCTTGGCCAGTGACCTACAAATGGCTGCTAACTGTCCTACACAGTGCAGGGTCTCCCAGACACCATCCACCTCTGCCATCCATGCATGGGTACTCCAAGCAAGGCTTGCCTCCCCTGCTCAACTCAAACCACATCACCCTGCTCTTTCTTACCACATCCTTCTCCTTTTTTCTGCAACCCTTTTTACTTCCGAACAAGAGTCCTAACAATAGTGTTTTTCGTAGTGAAAAACTGGAAAAGAATCTAGTTGTCCAACAACAGGGGTTAGGTAATGAACCATGGTTAAATAAGTCAGGGTTTGTTAATAATGGGATATATTATTCAACCAACAAAAACCATGTACTGAAGGAGATATAATAATAAGGATGATATATCCACCACATTCTGCTCAGAAAAAAAAAGATAGAAAATAAGTTTCCTTAAGTGAAGCATGTTCATGAAGATGTTATCAGTTCTAAATCTCTAGTCTACAGGATCGTGGTTGATCTCCATTTTCTTCTTTTTTGCTTATGTTTATTTAACCATCTTTTTAAATGAATGAGTATGATTTTGGGAAAGCAGCACAGAAAGAAGTCAAACAGTTCAAAATGGAATGTTAAAAAATGTATTTGATTTTATATGTGTTTATATTCCTCAAAACCTACGTGTGCTCTACCAGGATGAGCCTGGTATTGTAGTGCATTTTAGTGTGTTGTGTTGTGTTGTGTTGTGTTGTATTGTGTTGTACCACAGCCCAGAGCAACAGCTCAGATGAGGATACACTTTGTCCTTTGGTGGTGAAGGGTCATGATTCCCAGGAAGCCATGGGCTGGAGAGGTACAGAATTGGACACTCGAGTTATGCTACTGCCTTAGAGAAAGCCACAGGCTGTGATTCTAAATGGGGTCCTGGGTTAGTTTCCAGACAGCAGAAGAATCTGGGTTTTTTTCTCCCCAAATGAAATCTTACATAAAATATCAACTCCTAAACAGCAAATGTTGTGTTGATTTGGTTCAAGTAGGATTGCAGCAACCAGTAATGCCAGTTAAGCTTCCCCTTCTGCCTACATCCCCCCTACAAAGCAACTTGGTAGGCTTCCCTATTCACTAGTTGAGAAACAAAGAAAAGTTGGTTTTAAGAAGGCAACTTCCATTCCAGCAATAGGTTTTTCCATTCACAGTATGAAATCCAAATGGTTACTTTTGCCCATTAATTACATGTATACTTGGATTTCTTGAGGCCCAATCTTCCTTCCATGTGGAAAGCTTGCTTCACCATACCTGCCTAAACTCCTACAAATCCCAGATATTCTCTTTGGATTTTTTTTGACCTCCAACACCCTAGATTAAACAAAGTATTACTTCATATGTCACCCCACAGTACTTTAACTATTATACTCTACTATATCACTTGCAATGTGGTACCTGAGCTAGGCTTAAGGTATTTAAGTGAGTCCTTGTAGGTAGAACTGAAAATTTGCCTCCTAACCATGGACTTCTTTGTGGGTTAAGAAATCTACATGGGGCAGGAGGAATCTAATGGTGGCCATGATTTGGGGTTCAGACAATATAAGTACAACTAATGTAAGGAGAAACTCTGAGATCCCTTGATGGTAGGGGGAGGGGGGACTACCTCAAGAGAAGGAGTCTGGCTCTATCAGAATCAACAACAAGATCTAGTGATAGGAGGAGAAATGGTGATTTCCAGTGGAGTGGAATGGCCATCATTTGAACTTGTTGAATCCCAGCCAATCTGTTGGTACATAGACATTCTGGGCAAAAAGGCTTGTGTTCCCAAATGAAAATCTATTGCTCTGCTTGGGATCTCTCTAAACAAGTAGCTCGTGGTGAAGTGAAGTCAGTATTCCAACTGTCAGAAGAAAGGCAGTCAGTCTAAAGCACCAGAAGAACATCAAGCAATATCCCAGAGGCAAGTAACAACAGTACAAGCATTTGAGCAGAGTCAATCAAGAGTGGTGGGAAAATAGCATGCCAGGTTTTCTTGTGCATGAGAACAATGACTGAAAAAAAAAAAAAGCTGGAGCAATGGAATATTTAGCAGTCTGGACCAAGAAATGAGATCACAGAAGACTCAAGTTGGGACTGGCTTAAAAAATGAGAGAGGGAACAACATGGAAGAGGGAGAGGGATGGGGGTCCCGTCATTCACTGGTTGGGACTGAGCTAGCAAAATTCAAAGAGAAATATCAAAGTGTGCTCAGCTATACCCACATACTAGTAAGAGCTGGGGACATTTAGTCTATATATTGTGTTCCTATTATTACTTGTTCTCATGATGGGGATGTGACATTATTAGGTACGACATACATCTGTGAGATGGCTGTGTCTCGGAGATATGTGTGTCAGAAAATATTCCTGTGTGAGGCTCAGGATATGTGAGATGATGTGCTTGGCTGTTATGACATGGTGACCGCATGAGGTTGAGATATTTCAGTGGGTAATGGAAAGTTAGCAGAAAGGATTCCCTGGTCCAGGGAAGACTGCTTTAAGCATAAGTGTATTTTTTATATAGAAGAACTTTTATTTAAAATTATAGGAGAGGAAAAGCTACACAAGGATCAAGCTTTGCTAGCTTAGAATTGAGATGGTTGAGATGGCACGAAAGTGTCCAGAAACCCAAGCACTATAGATTACCTTAGTTTCATCAAATATAAGGTCATAACTGCTACAAGCTGATAGATGGGCAGGCATTTCAAACTCTGGATAGAGCACAGAACAGAATATATTCCATTTCTCAACATTTTCTAAAGGAAGCCAAATATTTCTTAAGCTTATTCATCACCCACTCCTTCTCTATCTCTTGGATGCTGAATTACCACATGCAATGACAGCATATTTTTAGCATACTGGCTTATGTTCAAATTTATGCATTACAACCTACATGTTTATGAATTTATGTATTAAATTCCAGAGAATTTACACCATAAATTCAGAATTCACATAATCCATTTTATTAGTATGCATGTTCAAAAGCTTGCAAAAAATTAAATTAACATATATTAATATTTGCAAAGGTATTTTGAGTGAATGCTAGTTTTCTTAAAGCATGACTTCATTAAATGGTAGAGCTATTAAACCAGACATTAACCTTCCCAAGTTTGGGCAGAGAAGAGCTCAAGAAGAAGGTTTTTGTACAGTTGTACAAGATGTTCTCCAGTCTTGTCTCCAAGACTGACTTCTTTGGGCTTTTCTTATTTCAATTCTCAGTATCATTGTCATTGCTGGATATGGGGAAAATTCCCCTTTGATAATCCAACTCATCACTTAAAATATAAGATGCCAATAACTCATTCCCCAAAACATACATGTACATTTTTTAGAAAGAGAACTTTCACTAAAAACTTAAACAGAATGTCCCCATACATGGAAGGTACAGTGTTATTAAAAACAATCCAATTTCAAAATAGGTTTGCATCAAGAAAGAGTCTAGGCAAGTAGCAAAGGACGTGGCAATTCCCGAATCTCCTCGGTCTGAGACAAAGATACCTGACTCTGGAGGGCAGATGTAACTCAAGGATACTCTTCCCTCAAAAGATGGCCACTGGCTATCATCTCATGTGCTTTGTCCCCTGCATTATGTTGAACATAATGACCGTCATCTCCCACTTGAGGACAGAGTGCAAAACATGAAGCTCAGAGTCTCAGATTTCCTGGTGGCCTCCCAACTCAGTTTTATTTTTCAATTTGAGGAGTAAAAGTGACTGGAAGATTGGTGGCTCATGGTCCATAAATGATTCTTTGGTCTTTTCCTTCCGGGCTATAGTAGTCATCCCTACTTGGATGCTCTTCAGCATTCTCCTAGTGACTCACTCAATTTAACCCCTCCACCCCACCAGGAAGTAATTAGACAAAAATCTACCCATCTCAAATATAAAATCTTAGCTGTGCAAGAACAATAGCATACACTTATTATAAATTAAACACAAATACTATGACATGAAATTAAGTGAAAGTTGAGAAAATTTAAGCCCAAACACAATATTCAATTAGCAAAATATCTTTTTTTTTTTTTTTAAGGCCAACCTAAATTTAGTTTTGACTGATCCCTTTGGAGGAATATTTGTGGCGTATCTTGGTTTTGTTAGTGTGATCTTTAGCTTTTTGACAATCCACAATTAAAAACACATAATTCTCTGGGATGCCTGGGTGGCTCAGTTGGTTAAGCAGCTGCCTTCGGCTCAGGTCATGATCCCAGCGTCCTGGGATCGACTCCCGCATCGGGCTCCTTGCTCGGCAGGGAGCCTGCTTCTCCCTCTGCCTCTGCCTGCCACTCTGTCTGCCTGTGCTTGCTCTCTCTCTCTCTCTCTCTGACAAATAAATAAACAAAATCTTTAAAAAAACAAAAAAACAAAACAACAACAAAAAAAAAACACATAATTCTCTAGGATATAACTGCAACAGTCCCATTAATTTCTGTATCAAAGGTATCCAAAACTAAACTATTTATTTATCGAAACTTAAGGTTTTAAGAGAGTTTCCCAAAAATACAAATCTATAGCAATTTACTTAGAAAATTTTCTTGCTAGAGTAAACATTATAGCTTTTGGTATTAAATATTTGGTAAGTTTATTCATTTATCAGTACTACCAAAATACAAAGAAGGAAAACTGTCTAGGAATCAAAGTAGGTTTTAAAATAATTATATTTAGATATCTTCATTTCTGATCTTCTAACTATAATGTTAACTGTAAGAAAGAGTATCATTAAACATGTCAGCAAATAACAGAGGGACAGAAAGGTGAACAATCTGTCAAACTTTTTTTTTAAAGATTTTATTTATTTATTTATTTGACAGAGAGGGAGTGATCACAAGTAGGCAGAGAGAAAGGGGGAAAGCAGGCTCCCTGCTGAGCAGAGAGCCAGATGCAGGGCTTGATCCCAGAACCCTGAGATCATGACCTGAGCTGAAGGCAGAGGCTTAATCCGCTGAGCCACCCAGGTGCCCCAATCTGTCAAACTTTTAAAATATTTATATTTAAAAGAATACTTACTCTTTAGCCGTCCTCTAAGAGGATATATCCTGAGGTTTTCAATTATATCAACCACAACCAAGGAAGTCAGAACCAGAGAAACTGGCAGGTCAGGTAACTTCTCAGGAAAGCCATCCGTCGAACCATTACTATTTTTTTGAACCTGTTTTCAGAAAACCATTTAGAAGGATTACATTTTGTTCTTTCTTTGTTTAAAATTCTTTTAATAGTCTGAAAGCAGCACTAAGTTATAAAGACATTTACTAAAATACTAGAAGCTTAATTTCCAACTTTTCAGGTATTCAACCCGGTAAGCTTTTTTTAAAAATTGCATTATGTTAGTCACCATATAGTACATCATTAGTTTTTTGGGTTTTTTTTTTAAGATGTTACTATTTATTTGAGAGAGAGAGCATGAGAAGGGAGAGGTCAGAGGGAGAAGCAGACTCCCTGCTGAGCAAGGAGCCAGATGTGGGACTCAATCTCAGGACTCCAGGATCATGACCTGAGCCAAAGGCAGTTGCTTAACCAACTGAGCCACCCAGACACCCCACATCATTAGTTTTTGATGTACTGTTCCAAGATTCATTGTTTGCATATAACACCCAGTGCTTCATGCAATCCATGCCCTCCTTAATACCCATCACCAGGCTCACCCATCCCCCACTCCCCTCCCTTCTAAAAACTCTCCTGTTTGTTTCTGGGAGTCCATGGTCTCTCAGCAACCCCATAAACTTTTGAACAACTTGTAAAGATGTAACAAAGATTCCTATCAGTGGGAGAGTTTTCAGCTCAAGATTGAGGTTGGTAAACACATGCGAAAATACTACAGCAGGCTCCTGGTAACGGTGGGATGGGCAATTTCTTCCCTCTCTACTGCGAAGCAGAGCCTTCGGGAGTCCTTAGGTTGAAGAATGAGGGGGACAGATATTGGATGGAGTTCAGGGTCTTCTAAGAAGGGAGAGCCCAGGTTAAACCCAACCAGGTTTTGGGACACTTCTTTCATCTGATTAAGGTATATACAAAAAAAAAAAAAAAAAAGACTATGGCAAACATCATATTAGTGGTGATAAGTTGAGAGTTTTCCCTCTGAGATCAGGAAGAAGACCAAGGTGCCGCCATGACCAGTTCTATTCAACATTGTACTAGAGGTCCTAGCCAGTGTAATGAGGCAAGAGAATGAAATAAACACAGTAAGTGTTGGAAAGAAAAGAAATCTATATCTTTATTCATAGACTACATAATTGTACATGGGGAAAAGCTCCCCGAAGTGGATAAATTATTTATAAATACCAATAAAGGGAAAATGAGATTTTAAAAAATGATACCATTCAATGCAACCTCAACCAAAATTCAAAGACTTTGCAGAAAATGACAAGCAGACTCTAAAATCCATATAGAAATACAGAAGGCAAGACATTTAGATGAAAACGATATAAAGATTTACTCTTTGGGGTATAAAGAGCTATTATAAACCTAGAAGAATTGTATCGATGTAGTGTGGGCAGAGGTATATAAAAGCAGACAGTGGACAAAACAGAAGACTTGAAACAGACATGTACATATATATACTTGATTTGTAAAAGTAGCACTACAGAGAAACATGGAAAGACAGGATTTTTTATAAATAGTGCTCAGTCCATTAGACATTAATTGGGGGGAAAATGCACTCCCTACCTCACAACATATACAAAAATTAGTTTCAAATGGATTGTGAATCTAAAAGAGAATGTAAAAACAATACAGGCTCCAAAATATAATATCGGAGGATATCTTCAGGTCTTTGAGATTCAGATTCACAGTATGACAAAATCTTTTCAAGCTACCAAAATTACTATCCACAAAAAAAAGAAACTGACAAATTGCACCGTTTTTAAATGAAGAACTCTTCGTCCAAAAATGGCATGACAAGTATTAAGTCACAAAGTGTGAATATATTTGCAATACATATAATCAACAAAGGGCTTGAAATCTGAATATATAAGTAACTTCTGAGTCAATTCCAAAAAGATAAGTAACACAATAGGGGGAAAAATTGGCAAGATAAGAAAATACTCAGTTTTGGGGCACTTGGGTGGCTCAGTGGGTTAAGCCTCTGCCTTCAGCTCAAGTCATGATCTCAGGGTCCTGGGATCGACCCCCCCGTGGGGCTCTGTGCTCAGCAGAGAGCCTGCTTCTCCCTCTCTCTCTGCCTGCCTCTCTGCCTACTTGTGATCTCTCTCTCTGTCAAATACATAAATAAAATTAAAAAAAAAAAGAAAAGAAAATGCTCAGTTTCATTATTGATGAAATGCAACATAAAACGGCAATGAGATTCAAGAATATACACACTGGGATGGCTAGAAGACTTACGAGGTAAGGCTAGCGAGGCTGTGGAGCAACAGGTATGCTCGTTCTCCACCAGTGCTAAGTCTAAATTAGTAGAATCTCTTTGGAAACCTGGCACTTGCTGCTAGTTGAACATTTGAATTTTTTTTGTCTTTTTTATTTTTTTATTGTTTTACTATGTTATGTTATGACCCATCAATTATACTCCTGCATATTTCACCAGCTGAAATTCTTGCATATGTGCATCAATAGACATATTCAAAGATGTTCACAGCAGCATTATCTTTAAGAACCCAAACCAGACACATCTGAAGGTGGGCATCGAAAGCAGAAATGTAAGCTGTAATATATTCATAATATGAATTACTCTACGGAATGAAAATGAATGGAATACAGTTGTATACAAAAACCCGAATGAATCACACTTTTTTTTTTTTTTTAAAGATTTTATTTATTTATTTGTCGGAGAGAGAGAGAGAGAGAGAAAGCACAAGTAGGCAGAGTGGGAGGCAGGGAGAGAGGAGGAAGCAGGCTCCCCGCTGAGCAGAGAGCCCGATGTGGGGCTCGATCCCAGGACCCTGAGATCATGACCTGAGCTGAAGGCAGCGGCTTAACCCACTGAGCCACCCAGGCACCCCCTGAATCACACTTTTGAATAAGAGAAACCAGACATACATTAGGTAGATAAATAGATAGATAGATTTTATATATATATATACATATATATATGTATATATATATATAATTATATTTCTCTTATGAAAGATTCAAAACCAGACAAACCAACCTATGGTATTAGAAGTTAAGGTAGAAGTCACCTTTAAGGACGAGGGAAAAGGTTGTCATTGAAAAAAAACAAGGGAGCTGGCAAAATTTTATTTTTTGACCTGAGTAGTGTTTACACAGGATTTTGCTCTGTAGTATTTCACTAATATTGTTTTGTACACATTTCTGTTTGTGTCTTATACTTGAGTGAAAAATGAAATGAAAGGAGGAAAAAAATGTGTAACAGTGGATAAGGATGTAATAGAAAAGAGCCAAAAAAAATGTTCTTTTGCCCCAAGAAGGGCAATCAGACTACAAATATACCATCACTTTATGATAATAGGGTTGCTTAAAATGTTGTAAACTGAATTTTTAAAGGTCTTGGGAACCTCTCATGAGCTTTGCAAAGTCTTTGGGAAGGAGAGAGGGAAAAAAGATAAATCTAGATACAAATATACACATATTGTTGTTTGATGGACAGTATGTGCATCAAGTGCAGCCTTCAGAAGTTATTCTAATACATTTATATATTGTCCTAATGTAGCATCTAGGACACAGTCCAACAATCATATATTTCTAATGATATCATACACTACCCAGTACTCCCTTCTCTCATAAAGCCTATCATAACTATTCTGATTGTCTATTTCTCTCTCTACTATGAATAAATAATTACTGAATGCCAGAGATTTCATCAAATTTCCTGAGTGTTCTATCCCAGTACCTATTCAGTGTATTTCATCTGTGGAATATAAAGTAATTTAAGTTACTCACTTTGGGGAAGTGAAAATTATATACTTCACAGCATCGTGCAAATTAATAAGTTTAATAGGGCAGTCTTCTTTGAACCTTTTTTAGACAATAAAATTCTCACAACCTGCGAGTTCGGCCTATAATATTCCCGTCCTGTAGATACTCATCTATCAGAGTCCTTTTGAAGCTGCATTTAGTCAAAACATAAAGTTCATTTTCAAATATATATCATGTGCGAATGCTTTGCCAATAGATGTATTATCAAAGGTCTTAGAATGTGAGTGGATGTCCCTTTGGATATTGTTTAGAACTGAGGACACTCAAAAGACATCTAGTTAAAAAAAACAAATACAAATCTACTTTCAAATTCCTTGCTTTTTTAAAAATTATTTTGAAATTAACATTCCTGTTTCTCATGCACAAACACAGAAGGTATTTTTTTAATTGGCTGCTAGACCTTCCTTTACAATCACAGAGGTAACAATGTTCTTAGTACTTTAAATATATACATTGCAACTTGGAAGAAAATTGGATAAAATAAAGTTTTAAGAAAATTTTTGGCACACTGTTCTAAAAATTCCAGTAACAGAGGAAATTTTAAAATCTCAAAATCTTGCAGCAGAAGAAATAAAAATCCCATACCTCGGTCACTGCGATAGAAAAGCTGAAGCTGGGAAGTGTGGTGAGTATAACACACATCATCATAACAGGTCTCCTAGCAAAGGAGAAAAAAAATAAGCAAAAGCAATAATGTAGAAGATCAACAGTTCCTGTTCCATTCTGCTAATTTAGCAGTTCCTGTTCCATTCATCTATAGTTTTTCTAAGAAAATACTGCTTCCCTATTTCCATTTCCCAAATGTTTGAGTATGGCAAAGGGCAATACATGCAAAAACCGGAATATTTTCTAGAACAAAGGGGTGAGAGATTTCCAAATAAGTAGCAAACCATGGACTTCTAAGAGCATGTCCGTACAAGACGAGAGACATTCAATATTTTCATTATTATTTGGAATCTTGTCCAAGAGTTCTGGCTCTTGTGACCAACTGAAAAAAAGAACATGACTTTTTTTTTGAGATTTTATTTATTTACTTATTTGTCAGAGAGAGAGAGAGAGAGAGAGAGAGAGCGCACACAAGCAGGCAGAGTAGCAGGCAGAGGCGGAGAGAGAAACCGGCTCCCTGTGGAACAAGGAGCCCGATGTGAGACTAGATCCCAGGAGCCTAGGATCATGGCCTGAGCCAAAGGCAGCAGCTTAACTGACTGAGCCACCCAGGCATCCTGAACATGACTTTCTTAAGTTATATTATACCCTATGTCTAAAGTTGATTTTTCAAAAAGACATTTAGAGAATGTATACCAAGAATGACTTCAAGTGAAAACATTTAGATATTTCTTATTTGAAAAAAATCACATATATAAAGAAATATTGTGTGATTTTATATATGTGATTTTATGTATCACATATATCACATTTTAATATATATACACAAAAATAAAAATTTTTATATATCACATATATATAAAATCACATATGTATGTGTGCATATATACATATATATGATATATAAAAATCACGTAATTTTTCAAACTTGTTTTTGGACACCTTCTTAAACATTATAATAATCAATTGATCAAATTGTTATTGTGATATAATACACATATAATACATAAAATATCTTATGACAGAAAGAATTAAAATGTACACTTAGCATCATTAATTTATGGGAAGACAAAGTATACTCAAAGCTTTTGTATCATGAAATACCTCCTTTCCTTAAATACATATTTCACTAATTACACATTTAAAAAATTACATTTATATGATAATGTGTTTCTAAGTACAAAAAAAGTGTTGAACTCTTTCAAATAACTAAGGTTTTCCCCCTTGGTACTACCATGCTACTGTCTATCTCGCCTTCTAGGTATAGACATAAATTAGGGGGCAGGATACACCCCTCTCCCAACCAGACCCAGTATGACCTGCTAAAACCAGAGGTACAATGGGGTTTTTAAGGGGTAGCTTTGCCTCCTTTTTTGAGCCCAGATCTAGGTTCCTGCAGCACCTGGTTCTCTAAGGCTAGCTAGAGCCTTCTACTCAGCTTGTACTCAAAAATAGGTAAGAATGTCCCAGGGATTACTCCCACCCCTCCTCCTTATCTATATTTTCTCCCTCAATTACCTAAGCCAATCCCATGGTTTTAAATAACACCTACTTACCCATAGTTTCTGAATATTGTATATATATGTATATATGTACGTGTGTGTGTGTGTGTGTGTGTGTGTATATATATATATATATAAAATATCATATACATTATCATATATATATATATATATATATATATATATGATTTTTTTTGGTTTGAGTAAGAAATACCCAAATGTTTTCACTTGAAGTCATGGTTTATCTCTTATGATCTCTAAATGTCTTTTTTCAAAAAAATCAATATCAGTATTATATAAATGTAAATATGCCTGAGTCCTGGGCTTGTATGACCAATTCTATTGGTACCTCCACTTGGATGTCTAGTAGGCAATCCAGATTTAACACGCCTGAAAAAGACTCCACATCCTTCCCCATACCTGTTCCAATTATCATCAAATGCTGTCTGGTTTACATCAAGTATATTTACTGAAAACACGTTTTCAATCCATCCTTTGCTAACACTGCAGGTCATGAGCTATCATAGCTCATCTGACTTCCTAACCAATTTCCTGTTAGTGCTTCTATTCTTGCCTAGCAACATTGTCTCCACAGAGCAGTTATATTTCTAAAATGTAAAACATGATTATCACCGCCCTACCAAAAATTCTCCAATGATGGGGGGTGGGGTGAATGGAGAGTTAGTATTTGGTGAAGACAAAGTTTCAGTTTTGCAAGATGAAAAGAGCTCTGTGAATGGTTAGTTGGTCTGGACACAGTGTGAATGCACTTAAGGCCACTGATCTGTACACTTAAAAACGATTAGGATGGTAAGTTTTATGTTGTGTATTTTTCATAAAATACATACACTTGTGCATTTTACATATTTTAAAAAATCACCAAGGCACGAGTAACGTCATTAGAATAAAATTGAAACCTATTACTCTAACCTACATGTTCTATATGTTGTGGTTTCTCTTCTTTCTCCCACTGTCTTTCTCATTTAGAATGACCTTCTTCTCTCCCAAAAACCTCTTAACTCCAGCCATACTGGCCTTCTAGTTATTTCCTGATCACAGCAAACCCGCCCCACCTTCAAGTTGTACTCTTGCTCTCCTTTTGCCAGCAACTCTCTACTCCCAGATCTCCCATGTCTGACACAGAATTATATACATTTACAACCCTACAGCCATCTGAAATTCTGCTGATTATTTCTTGTGTACCGTTTTACACATTCCTCCTCTTTGCCAGTCACCCAAACTAAGTTCCATGGAAGCAGGAAACTTATCTGAGTGGTTTCACTACATTCACTGGCTAGCAAAATGTTTTTGAACAATTTTTGTGCAGTGAAACTTCTGAGAATCTGGTAAAACCTATGGGCCTTTCATAAAACATAATTTAAAAAAAAAAACAAGCAATTACATTGAAATAGTTATCCAAATTCTTTCACAATTTTGATATAGTAATATATGTGCCTATCTATGAACATTGTCTTCTGATTTCCTTTGGAGTACTCAAGATCTAGTGGAAACTGAAATCATTCATAACCCATTTGATGAAGTATCTGCAACAGCTGTAATGTGATATGAAAAGACCTATGTAATGAAATTACAGGTTCTGGTAATACTACTGTGATTTGTTACCAACGTTCAAAATGGAAAGAAATCATAGCTTTCAATTAGAGGTTAGTGAAAATAATGATGTAACCTGTTCCCAATACAAGTTCTGTGTTTTATGTAACCAGAAATAATGATAATTTGTATTTTAAAATCTTGACTGACTGCCAACATATGTTTATAATTTATGAATAAGTGTTGTGGGTTAAATTCTGTGCCTCCTCCCTAAAAGATATGTTGAAGTTCCAGCTCATGGCACCTTACCACGTAATCTTATTTGGCAACAGGGTCTTTCTAGAGGTAAGAAGTTAAAATGAGGTCATTAGGGTGATGCCTAATCCAACATGACCAGTGTCTTTATAAAAAGGGAAAATTAGGAGAATGTACAGAAGGAAGATTATATGAAGACACAAGGAGACAGCAGATGAAGGCATAAATTCAGCCAGATGATGCTTGGCCAAGTACACCAGAGTGCCCGTGAACCACCAGCCCTCAGAAGGAACCAACCGACCTTGACCCAAGACTTCCAGCCTCCAGAACTGGTAGACGCACATTATCATGAACAGAAATGCTACAAATACGAATGTTCAGGTGTTCCTGGTGAAGACTCAGGCAGCACACGGGATAGTGTTACTAGAAACTGGAAGGAAGGTGATCCTTTCTAGAAAGTAGCAGAACACTTGGAGGACCTGTGTTCTGCGGGGTATGGAGTAGAACTTCACAGTTGATGAACTCAGATACTTAGCTGAGATTTCTAAGCCAAGTCCTGAAGACACTGCCTGGTGTTTCCTTGCTGCTTAGAGCAAAATTCAAGAGTGGAGAGAGAAATTGAAGAAAGAATAACTGTTAAGGAACTGGAACTTGAAGATTTGGAAATTTCTGTCTCTCCATGGTGTAAAAAATAAGAGGGGCGCCTGGGTGGCTAGTGGGGTAAGTGTTTGGCTCCGGCTCAGGTCATGATCCTGGGGTCCTGGGATCAAGTTCCACATTGGGCTCCCTGCTCAGCACGGAGTCTGCTTCTCCCTCTTCTCCTGCCCCTTCATGCCCCACTCCGACGCTCATGTTCTCTCTCAAATAAATAAAATCTTTTTAAAAAATGAAAGAGGATGTTCTAGAGAGGATACTAAGGGTGTGGCCTGTGAATCCAATCACCTGTCTCAGCAGAAATGCTGCCACTGCCAGCTGGGACTAAAAGGGGACAGAGATTCGACAAAAAGGAAGGAAAACTGTTAGCCTTCTGGGATTCAAGAAGCAGGAAGTGGGCTGCTAGAGCTATTTGGCTGTGAACGTGTACTATCTTTCAAGAAAAGGGAAGAATGACTCTGACAGTGCTTCAGAGGCCTGAGAGGCTACCACTGCCACCAGTGGCCCAAAGGTTTCCTCCTCAGACCCAGAAGCCAGGAAAAGCATGGAGCCTCCCATCTGACAGGCCCAGAGGACACAGTGTCCAGCCACAGGGGATTATTCTCAAGCCTCAAAATTTAGTGAAATTTGCCCTTCTCGGTTTCAATGAGTCTGTTTTGCATGTGAGAAGAAGATGAATTTTGGACAGGGCCAGAGGGCAGACTGTCATAGGCAGACCCATGTTGAAGTCCCAACCCCCAGTACCTCAGAATGTGAGTATATTGGAAATAGTACCTTTCCAGAGGTAGTAAGTCAAAATGAGGTCGTCAGCATGGGCCCTCATCCAACATGACCGGTGTCCTTATAAAAAGGGAAAATCTGGAGACAGACATGCACAGAGGGAAGGCCACGTGAGGAGACACAGGGAGAACACAATGTGATGATGAAGGCAGAGATCAGGGTGATGCATCAATATGTTCAGGAATGCTGAAGAGGGCCAGCAAACCTCCGGAAGCTGGGAGGCCTGGAACAGATTCTCCTTCACAGCCCTCAGAAGGAACCAATCAACACCTTGGCCTCAGATTTCTAGCCTCCAGTATTAGGGGACTGT